TTCGAATAACAACAAAAGAAGATAGAACAAAAACTGTGTTGTGAGCCAACCTCTATGCAGCCGTACCAATAACCTGCGTCATACCCGGAAGCTGGGAGAAACAAAGAAAACTCAGCCGCTCCTTGTAGACTTGACAAAACACCAATCCACTTGATTCGATCTTCAAGAAGAAGAATGAAAAGGCCTTAAGTCACTGAGCGCCCAGGTCAAACTCCTTGTGGGGCCCGCAATCAGATTTCTCCAAAAAATTAGGGTTTTGGGCAACACACTTGAATCTGTCAAGAGGATAACAAAACCAGTCCCCTTCTCTCCAGAAACCACTAACAACTAGGCTGAAATAGGTTTCTTTAACTATTCATACGATACAGTTCTCCATACACACTGTGTATGGGAAAAATGGTGAAAAAAAAGGGAAAAAAACGAGCCTGCTCTAATACCAAGAAGAAAAACAGCCTTTTGAGAAGAAAGGACTGTTTAGAAAGTTGCAAAAATTCAAAAGAAAGTAGTAGAAATCAGAGTTCAAGAGGAGAGAAGAAGAAGAAGGTGGCGGCAACTTGGGTTCAGAGAGAGAGATTTTCGAACATAATCTCTTCTCTTACTCCCTTAATTCTATTTCATTAAGTTAAACTTTAGTAATTTACAGAGAAGTCCCTAGTTGGGCAGAAAATTAAAAAGACATAACATAAGAAAAAATAAAGCCCAGATTAAGGCCCATTACAGCAAAGAACATAAAAGATAAAAAAGGATAAACAGCCTATGGGCCATTCGGCCCATCTTCTCTACAGTTATTAAATATGAACATATAGAGGGCGTTGAGGAGAGACTAGTAATAGAAAATATAAATAGTGTTAAAAATAGCATAAACTTTTGAAAAATTTGAACTATAGAAGTGAAAGAGGCACTAAAAAAGGTGAGAGAGAATTGCTAGGATCTGATGGTATTCCAATAGAAGTATGAAAAGATATGGGAGAGATAGGCTTATAGTGGCTAACTAAGCTTTTAAATAAGATCAATGTTTTAAAAGCGCAAAGCACAAAAAAGGTGCAGATGTCAATTTGCACTTGAGGCGCAAGGCGCAAGGCGAGGTGCGTGTCTTTTTGAAGCAAGGCGCAAAAATACAAAAAAAGCTAAAAAATAGAAAAAGTCAGAAAATTCAAAAAAATGCCAAAAAAATAAAAAAAAATATTAAACATAATATTAATAAAAAAATATAAACTTAAATTTTAAAATAAATGTTTTAAAAAACCTATTATCTAAAATTAAAATACATAAACATAAGATGAAAACCATATTCAAATGAGAATTGAAAAATAAAATCAAACATATAAAACATTTTCAATCATGTAAAACCTCTAATCTCTTTTTTCACTCAATTGCATTACTTCAAGTAGCTAATGTAATGTAAAACATATTACATTCCTGTTTCTATGAGCCGCCTTTGTGCTATGCCCCTCGAGGCAAGCCCAAACAAGTCCATGTTAGGTGTTAAGTTCTTAGCTCTCACACAAAAAATAATGAATTTATAATTTTAATTGCTTTTTAAGAAAATATTTTATTAGGATGAATGAATGAACAACATTAGCAAATAGGGGGTTCTCGGAGCACGCTTGGGCTGAGGTGCAAGGCATAGTATGGTGAGGCGCACCAGGCGTGCACCTAGGACCTAGGCGAGGCGCATACCCTAAAATGCGCCTCGCTTGTGTGCCTAGAGGTGCGCCTTTTAAATCACTGAATAAGATAATGATAGAAAAGAAGATATCAGATGATTGCAGAAAGAGTAGTGTGGGTGCCTATATGTAATAACAAGGGCTATATACAAAGTTTTTATTTATTTTTTGAAAAGACTGAGGAGCTAAACAAGATGGGGGTAGCTCTTCCACAAGAATCAAAAAGAAAAAAAAAATAAGGCGATATACAAAATTGTAATAAGATGGTTTTGTCATGTGCATAGAAGACCGTTAACAACACCTGTAAGAACAACTGATTTGTTACAAGTTCAAGGGGGCTAAAAGGGCAAGGGGTGGACTAAAAAGAGCATGGGTAGAATTAGTAAGAAATGGTTTTAGTGCCAATAATTTGACAATGGATATGACATTAAACAGAATGGACCGGCGAAACAGGATTCATGTAGCTGACCCCATATAGTTGGGATAAGGCTTGGATGATGATGAACTGAATCTAATCATATGGGGCTATGCCCCTTATCATAGATGCTATGTCCGTCCCAACCTGATCCATGATCGTCCCTATTTCTTCCAATCTGTAATTCCATATCTTGGCTTATCCGGCCTGAATTTTTATATCTTCAAAAAAGAAAAATGTCTGTAAACTAAGTGTTCAACATAATTCTTTTATTGCTTAGTTGTAGTCTATCTTAACTTATTTATGATTTTGCATCAATTTCTTAAATTTAGAAGATATCTTTCTTTTCATCAACCAGTCAGCACCTCACCACATTGATAACACTGTGGAAATGCCCAGTATCATTTGTTTACATACATGTTTTTGTCGCTTATCTTTTGTAATCAAAAGCATTTCTTATTGCATGTATATGTAGAAAACATGGAATTCCCATACGTATTTCTTGTTGCATGTTTTTTCTGTTAAATTTCTAACACTTGAGTTACCACGGTTGCTGTTTTTGGCAAAACTTAACTACCAAAAATTTCCATAGGAAGAAAATGCTAGATTATATATCATGACATAATATCTTTGTCAATGTCTTTTATACCACCTATTATCAATAAAAAAATCTTCTTCCTAGAGGTGCAACTTGGGCGGGCCCAACCTGAACATGATTTGATTCAACTTGAATTTTTGCATGGGTTGGGCCTGAGCTTTAGGGCTGCAGTCTGGGCTTGGGCCAAAAAACTCAGGTTTGACCTAAGCTTGGACTGGGCTTGGGTTGAGGTCTCAGGTAGGCTGAGCCCGACCTGGGCCTGATCCAATTTGAGCCTGCCTGGAAACACATATACATATATGTATTATATTTATACAAAAATATCTTTTTTTTCAATTATATATACATGTGTACATGCACATTTGTAAATGAAATTTGTACATATTTTGAATCAATTCTACTCTTAAATTGGTCCATAAAGCCCATAAAAGATGGCTATATAAAAATATATACATAAATTCTTTCAAACCCAACTAACCTGCCCCAGTCCAACTAATTTAGCCTGATCCAACCCAAGCTTGAGCCCAAGCCAAGTTGTGTTGTGTTAAGCTTGGGTTAGAGCAGGTCCGAGTGTGAGGTTTGCTCCTTTAGGTTTGGGCCTGGGTTGGTTGACCTTCAACCTGACCCAACCCGCCTGAGTTGCACCCCTACTTCCACCTTTTGTTACCTAAAATGTTAAACTCTTAAAATTCTAATGTTTCCCCCTTTTCTTTAAACACTCTATAACAAAGCAATATATCTGCTTAAGTTTTATGAGTTTACCCCATTTTGGTACATGAGATTACTCTTCTTGATACTAACTAAATTAAGAAAAAAAGCAGGTGATAACTAATTACCCAAGAAAGAAAAATTTGAAAAATCATACTAATTGTACCCCAACAACAACAAAATCCCCACAGAAAACCAGCCCAAGAACATATTCACCAGAATGTTAGACATCCTTAACACATTTTACAATTTATAAAATATCATACATGAACAAAAACTTAAACTGTGACCCAAAACCACACCCCAAAAACAAGATCATGACTAGTTCTTTTCTAAAATGTTCAGCAGTCACCCATCATCTTCTTACACAAATGTCACCTCAGAGTATCTACTAGGGCTGTTCATAAAATTTTATAAACTGACCAAACCAGACCGATTTAACCCGAGACGGTTGGTTATAAAAAATTCAGTTGGTTTTGGTTTGGAAAATAGAAGAACCAAGAATTCGGTTTGGTTGCAGTTTATAGCTTTGAAATCTGATCAACCTCTTTCTCCTCAGTCCACTGACCTCTTTCCCAATTCCCAAAAAATGCTAAAATGCAGAAAACATAAAAGTAAAAAAAATACACTGTAGACTGTGCAAGAAACAAGACTCAACGCCCCTGTCACTCTCACAATCTAATCAAAGTACAGCGATTGTATACCCATTCCAGTATTCTTATTAGTTTAGTTTATGTTTTGAATTTTTTTTCTTTCTTCAAACCTTTTAGTTTTATGATGCTTGATTAATATAAAAGGCAAAGTCTCTTCTCTCCTCAAACCTTTTACTTCCTCAGTTAATGTAAAAGTCTTAATCATAAACTATAGTTGTGCAAGTGTTGGATGTTTGACAGTTGTTAAGTTCATTGAAAAAAGAGATAAACAAAGGAACACATACAAAGAATATGCAAAAAATGTCAGAAAACAAAATGTCAGTTCGCCAGATTGAGGTAACAATTGAAAGTTGCAGTCGGTGTAATTCAAAAACTGAAACTGATACCAATGTAACAATACCTTACAGTTGGTTTTCACATATTACCGATCGGTTTTGGTTGGCTGCAAAGTCAACATGAAAATTTTGGTTCAGTTGACAATATAAAGTGAAACCGAACCGAACCAAAGCCCTAATATCTACCTCCCTTCTTCTACCTGAGCTCCTCCAATCCTCATTTTACAATCCTTACCCTTTAGACTAACATTCTCCAAATCTCTATCATCAAACCACACCCTCTTGGATTAATTCAGCTTCTTACTTTCTCATGAGAATGGAATCTTAATCTACAATAAAACAGACTGATGAATCTCTGCCATTATCTCTTTCTTCTAATTCTGAAAACATCTTTCTCAACAACAAAATTTATATACACCTTTTTATTTGCTATAGCAAATTACTAGTCTAGGAGGCTCAAGATAGTGAGGAAAATTATCTCTTAATTGTCTGACATGTGTCTCAACTTTTGAAATATATCCTGCATATATGTTCCACCCAAACTGCAGACATATTGTCTCCCCTTAAGTTTTTTTTTTTTCACTTGTTTTAGTTAGCAATTAAATATTCTTTTTGAGTGTGCAGTGTTACAGGAGATTGATGCTGCCAAAAGTTGGCCTTGTAGGAGTGGCCGTATACCAAATACTCTTCGTTTTGATCCTTTGACATCCCAAACCAGTGGGCTTTTTGTTGCGAAGTTCACAAAATTGGCATCTTAGTCAAGGTTTTCTATTCTATACCAGTTGTCACATAAATATGTTTCTCCATCATCATCATCATCATCATCATTATTATGTTTTATTGGTGATTTCTAGTGACTTGTCGTGTTGCATAAATTCTCCTAATAGATGATGTGTCAATAGTAGCGGGCATCCACAGATTCCAATACTCAATGGATTCTTGAGCGGCATTTCTAAATAATATTTATTTAGCATTCTTTCTTTTTTTATTTGATAGAAATGAACAGATATGTACACAATAAATGCCAAAATTACTATAATATGTTATTAAGGCTCTGTTTGTTTGCAGTGCAGATCCGAGCCAGATAAAATTTTGTACCCGGTTCAGTTTTGCATCCTTTTGTTTGTAACTATCATTTGCACTCCTATCAGATGCAAAATTTGCACTTTTTGTCTCATTTGCACTCACTGGCACTGCAAATTTTGCATCTAAAAGCTGATGCAGTGTTTGTACCACCTTCCTCCTACCTTAATTCTCTTTCATATAAAGTGGGGAGTGGGGGCCACATCATTTTTCTTCTTACCTTGTTCCTCCAAAACAAATAATCTTCCTCCTGCCTCCATTCTTTTTCATATAAAGTGGGGACCACATCATTTTACTTCCTATTTTGATTCTCATACACAAATAAGACAAGCCAAATCTAAAGCAAAAGTAAACCAGAATTTACACTAGGTCTGTCAACGGGTCGGGTCTAGGTAGAACCAGTTCCTGAGCCGATTATTGGGACTAAATCACAGACCCAGAACTGTCCCAGTTAGTAGTCATTATTTAAACAATGACTTAAAATTTGATAATATAACCCTAATAAAAATACTAAATTATTTATATGTTAATAAATTAAACATTTTTAACTAATATTATCTTATTTATTATTTATCAAATTTACCATTTCAAACATAAAATATGATAAAAATTATAAGAAAATTAAGAAAATATTATATATATTTAATAAAATAATTGATTCCAGTTTGAATCGTTTTGGAACAGGCAAGAACTAGAATGACCCAATTATTAATCGGGACAAAATCATGTTACCAGAACCATTATAATTGATCGGTTCGGTCAGTTCAGGTCCGTTGAGTAGATCTGACCCATTGACAGCCCTAACTTACACCAAGCCCATTTGCACTGCTATGCATTTATGCCAGGGCAAATGAAATTCAGACAGCAAACAAACTTGGCCTAAGTAATAAAAACTTTTAAACCTTTTTCTGTAGGTATATGATGTTAGAGTCCGAAAGCATATAGACTATTCTAAAAATATATGCTTCTCTATGGTTGTGTTCTAGAGTCCTTATTTTTTGATCTTACCAAGCTAGACTCCCAAACATGTCTTAGATTAATGTTAAAATCCAAAAACATGTAGACTATTTTAAAAATTTATGCTTTTATATAGTTGTGTTCTAGAGTCATTTTTTGGTCTCACCAAGTTGGATTCCTGAACATGCGTTAAATTCTGATTCCCATGGCTCTGTCCATGCAACATAGCTATGCTCCGTGCTTATAGCTGCATGCACTCTAGCATCTTTTGTAAATGGTATCTGATTTGTTCTTTATCATAATTCTTTTCCCAAAAATATTTGTAGATCATTCATCTTTCGAAGTACAATTTCACTTGAAAACCACCAAAGAAGTACCATTGGTTTCCTACAACTTCCAGGGGTACGTAGTATCCAATATCTGGGATTAACAATGGTGGAGTTTAAATGAAGGGAATGAAAAATGGATCTTCAGACAGAACATGTTATCCCTATAAAGAGGCTTACAACAAGCATTACCAACTAGATGAGGGCAACAAAGAATGACTCTCCAGACTTTTATTTTATTTCTACTTTTAGACTTTTGTATCATAATATGATCATTCTTCATATTTTATATGCAAGTTAAGTTGATGCTACTTGAGGAACTTGAATGGATCCATTGAACAATGCGAGTATGTAGCTCTTTTTTTAATTTTTTTTTATTTATTTCTTTGTACACAAGTACAGTGGTAAGTAGGTCAGTGACAAGGGAGAACCTTGCTGAAGAACATTGTTACCTTGTGGCTTCACCAGTTTAGTACTGCTTACATCAGGGAAAGTCAATATTAAGAGTGCTAAAGCTTTAATAGACCCTAAGTCCCATCCCATGTTAGTTTGTTGTGCTGGTATGCCACCGTAGTTGTATACCTTTCACTTAAAGGTCTACATATAAACTGCTTTCTGTAACTGAAGAAAATCCAATAATTAGATTCCCGAACTAACTATTCGACATGGTGCAGGTCTCTTTATGTAACTTGATAATGAGTAAAGGTTTTGGGAGTATTCATAAAAAATTCCCTGCTTAAAATCTTCTTTAGGTTCAGTCTCTTCTCTCCATCTGTAACATTGTAGCATCATCTCTTGGCTGAGGTATAGGCTACAAAGCAAAACAAAATGGAGATCCAAGAAGAGAAGCCTTTTTGCAAGGGAGATTAATTCATTCTCAAGTGTGTTATCAGTGGCTTCTGTTTTTTTTTTTCTTAAAGATTGTAGAGCTTGTTAATGCCCTCAATTGCTGAAGGGCAAGAGAGCATGCTTAGTGGTTTTCGCAAAATTCACATGTGACAGCATCATCATCTTTAAATGTATGACTTTACAAATCTTGCTGGAAATAAGAGTTGTTCCCAATATTACCACTACTTCCATTTTGAGCAAGTACTAAGGGTGTGGGGATTCCCTCATCATGTGGTGGTGGCATTTGTTACCTTGGTTGGCTTAATGGGGAGGGAAATTTGCTGGTTAAGTGTCCTTTATGGAACTTATTGAAGAAGTCTTTCTTTTGGTTGATAAATTTAGCAGTGGATTATAGAAGTCTGTTATATCATTGCACTAGTCCTTTGTAAGGGATAGCTTGTTGGTGAATTAAACCACTGGTCAATTTCTTCAACGGTGATGAAGGAAAGTTGATTTGTGTTGATTTTTGAATGGGAGGAATAAAATGGTTGAAATTGATGAATGCAGCCTTAATAGGAAAATGCTTGTGGAGGTTCAGTACTCAACCAAATGGATTATGGAGACAGATTATTGAGGAGACGGTTAAATGTAATGGCTTCTATGATTGATTGATTGTTCCATTTGGAGATGCGTGGGAAAATTCCATGGTAGCTTTCTCCCAGGGATTAAATTGAAAGTGTAGGTATAGGGGGCAGAATAAGCTTCTGGAGAGACATCTGGTGTGAAAACAGGCATTGATGGAAAGATTCCCACCTCTATTCATCCTAGCTGACAATAGAGAAGCACAGGTAGAAGATTTCTGTGAGGCCATTGGGAATGTGGCAACTTGGTGCCCTTCTTTGAGAGGATCTAACTACTTTAAGCCGGGTGAAAGAGATGCAAGAATTTGGAGGTGTGACGGCTCAGGCAGGTGTTCAGTTGGGTCCTTTAAGAATCTTAACGGCACAACAGCATCAAAAGCGGCTTTCTTGCTCTGGATTGCTGTGCTGGAAAATGCCTTACAAGAGATGTCCTGGAAGGAAGGGGCCTAAACCTTAGCCCGGTAAGGTGTGTGTGTGTGTGTTTTCTGTAAAGAGAATCAGTTGACCATCTGTTTCTCAACTGCCTCATGGCTAAGTGTACGCCCACTTCTGTAGAGCTTTGAACCGCTGCTGTATTGGACGGGAATGTCCGGACAGTGTGCATAAGGTGCAAGGCGAGGCACGTGCCTTGTCGAAGCATGGTGTAAAAATGCAAAAAAATTAAAAAATAAAAATATTAAACATAACATTGATTAAAAATATAAACTTAAATTTTTAAAATATATTATCTAAAATTAAAATACATAAATATAATATGTAAAACATATCAAATGAATATTTAAAAATAAAATCAAATATATAAAATATATTCAAGCATGTAAAACTCTCAATCTTTTTTTCCTTTTCCCAATTGCAAATTGCTAATGTCATGTAAAACATTTATTCTTCTTGATTTATGAACCACCTTTGTATCAAGTGAAAGGGATGGTAGAATCCATCGATTGGATGCCAAAGCTGTTGCGGAATGGTGGGCGAATTTCAAAAATTTTCTACCTATCTTTCAATTGGGAACCGCATTCCCTGATTTTAGAATCAAGATTCAAGGATCCTACTTGAATCATAACCGAACTAGATCTGAACCAAAAAAGGTGGGAGTGATTATATCTGATCCAGAGAAATAATATCTCTGAAAGTTGGTGTTCACGCCCAAAGAAGACACCAAGATCTGCTCCTACCGAAGATGACACAGCAACTGTGGAACAGAACCAGTAGAGTGCATCCTACCCACTAAATCCTTCACAAGAATCCATTGGAAGCAACGAGAACCGAACTGAATCAGCCTTTCTGCAAAGACTGATATCAAGAACTTTTCTTGATCTTTCTCTGACAGAGAAATCGAATTGCAGTAGGTGGCAGTTGTAGAAGGAGAAACTAGAGAAGAAGATGGCGATCTGCTTTTCTTCTCTAGGATTTCTGAGATCCTATCTCAAAACTACAGGGTGTGTTGTTTTGTTCCCTAGAGTTCGAATTCTTGTAATTCGAATTAGGGTTTCCTCTAGTTAATGATTAAGAAAACCTCTTGATCATATCAGGAGTTGCCCTTATCCAAATTTTTATTTGGATTAGGACTCTTCTTAATCTTATCTGCAGATTAGATAAGCTTTTTGGGCTCATCCTAATCTCAGATCCGCCCCCTGTAGTGGGTGATCATATCAGCCCAGTTCGAAATGGGCTTTTACGTCCAATAAATAAATAGTGTTCAATAAGTTTCCAAACTGCTGTTCAGTTAGGCTCCTTTGTATGGCATGGGACCCAAGCATTGATCTACACACCAACTACATGGGTTCGGCCCAGCCTTTGTTACAAGGCTTGGCCGAATTCACTAGAGGACCCAGTGAACCCCTGAGCCCATCACATGGACCCTATAGGCCCAACACTTACACTAAGTGGTCCCTGGGCCAAGCCATCTTATAAAAACCCAGGGACTGTGGGCAGGTGCAAGATTAGCCCATCAGGTATCATCCTAAATGGCTTTACACTTAACCTCTCAGCCCATAATGGTCAAGCATTGCCTGACAAGAGAGGACCTCTCCCTCGGCTGCAAGGAACAGTGCTGCACTCTTTACTTACATGGATCCCGGGAATTAAAACCATTTGCAAATATTTTGAAACCATACTTAGGTATATATCATATATATAAATTTTGCAAAACAAAATTCCAACGACTGAAATCATCTGCCGGCAGTTTGGTTTCAATCAGAGAGTGCATCCTCGATCATTACCTTTGTCCGACAAAGGGGTTGATCCCGTCACTATGATCACCCACTCAGATGAATTCTCAGACTGTCCCAACATACCCAGGTTTTGACCCCCGCTAAGGATCTCATTGATTGGCATATCAAAGACAGCCCGATCTGACACCCAGTGCAGTACCATAATCGGGTCTAGGGGTCAGGTGTAATTTTCCAGTTTTGCCCATCAATCTCCAAGGTCTAGGGCAACACTGAAAATCTGGTCTGGTTCAAGGGTTCAAGTAATCCTACATTGCGTGTGCCTTGGGTCTCACCCTGGCAGCTGAAACAGGCCACCCCAACAGTTGGCAACACACCAGTGTTAGCCTTGGCAGGATAAATCTCTCCAGACTTATCCAACGGCTGTGAACATTTAAAACCAACACAAGTCTCATTAAGTGTCAAGTTTTAGGGTCTTACACAGAAGTATACCACACAACATAAATCAAACATGTACTTCATTTATTTACATTAAATATCAAAAGTACATCAGAATTGATTGAAGCTAAGGGCATACAAAAACTGTCCAACATCAAGCCCTTTGAGACAAACCTAAACAAGTCTATTAGGATCTTAAATTCTTAATCCCTATACATAAAATTGATTTTATATTTCTATTTGTCTTTTATTTGGATGAGTGAATGAATAACATTAACAAATAGGGGGTTCTTGGATTTGGACCAATCTTATTGAAGTACATGGCTATTTTTCATAAATCTCTATATCAAGGTTCAAAGTATCAATATGTATCGGCCCGTATCGTATTTGGAGCTCCCTGATATGTCCCTACAGAGAGTGTATCAGAGTTTAGATCGGTTCAGGGGGTAGACGGTCTCCTTAAACTGGCTCCTCTGAACCGGATTTGGAAAAAAAAAAAAAAAAAACTACTGATACGCTTCTACCGGCGTATCAATATTTTGAACCTTGCTCTATATTTAAAAAAGGCAATAGGAAGTAAAATGACATGGTCCCACTATATAATCGTATAGAAGTAGGCAGAGCTAGGTCTATGAGTCTTAACCACCCTTGCCCACTTTCCTCCCAAAGGGGATTTGATTGGGCTTCACAGGACTCTCCTGATCTCCTCTAGAGATATCGCTCCTACACACCCGCTCGATGCCATCTCCCATAATTTTATTAATTTAAAAGGTAAATGAAAGTATGCACAATGATGGACAAACTTGAAAGAAGAGAAAAAGAGCAACTTGCCCCTCCCTTCTTGATAACAGATCAAAATGTATCAATGTTTTGGCATCTGTTAAATACAAAGAAACAAGGAAAAAATAACAGAATTGGGTTAAGAGAGAGAGAGAGATGCCTTTGTTCATTTTTAGAGGAATGTGTTAATATATTTTAATTGGAAGGCATGGGGGACAAACCAACACCGGCTATAACCAGCACCAACATAGTGTTTCTTTGGGACTTTTGTTGCTTTGTCTCTCCCCACCCCATCAACCCTCCCAAAAATCCAAGAACGGATGGTCTTAGGGGTGTCACTACTTTCTTTCAAAGTAAAAAGTAAATAAATAAATAAATAAAAAAAAGAAAGAAAAAAGAAAAAAAATATCTAAGCTCCCTTTTACTTTTACCCATTTCTTTTATATTTGCTCCCAACTTTTCAAAACCTTCAGAAATACTTGTCAGTGAATTTTTGTTATCCAAAGGTCCATTTAGTTCATGGAAATAAGAGTTTGGAATTAGAATTCGAATAGACCATTTTGATTCCAACTGTTTGGTTGGGTGGAATAGGAATCCCATTCCTATTCTTGGAGGAATGGCATTGCCCCATTTAAGGGAATGGCCATTCCCTCTGTATGAAACTG